AGTTAAATCAAAAGATTCGAACACCGGGTCGTGTCTCAAGGAAGGTTAGCCGGATTATTTTGTACGATTATTCAAGCACAGAAATGGAAAATAAAAGAAGTGAAAATCCTAAACATTCTAAATCAAGTTTGGAGATTTGATTATCGTCTACTAATTTGAAAAGCAAGTGATTGAACAGGGCAAGCAAACTAGGAATCACAAATTTAATATATAAAGAAGGAGCTAGGGTATCGGGGTCGATCAATTCCGGTTCTCAAAACACTTAACGAGCAATCAAGAGCTCGGTTGAACGTTTCGCTAAACTACTCATCTAGAGGTCTATCCTCAATAACTCTTCGTAACAAGAGGATAGACATAAATAAGCAATTCTTGAAGCAATCAACACATAAGCTATACTATTACGAACAAGCTTATTCCTAACGAGCCTAGATCGAACGATTTCTCCCTTTTCAGTTTTAAAATCGGTTAAATAGATCAAGATGGTGATCAATCATCAAAACCCTAAATTAAGCACAACTCGAGAGGATTGAGCAATTATCATGCATTTAAATAAAATCAAACCGGAACGATCTTCCCTTAACCCTAGCTAAAGGATTTAGCTACTCATAATGTATTCAACTCCAACACACATAATAATCAAAGCCATTCAATCAATAAGAAGATGAAACGAAAGCTTACGATTGAATAATCCAATGTTGAATACACGAATAACTGAATCCACAAGCTTAATCTTGGTGTTTTCACAATCCTAGATCAAATCATATGAAGAACTAAGAGAAAAACTGTTTTGGAGTGAATAATAATGAGAGAAAATCTAAACCTAGGTGAAAAGTGAATGAAAAACTGATCAAAAAAACGCAACTTAAAAAATCTGCTGTCGCGACCTCCGCGGCCGCGACATAGACCTCCGCGGCCGCGGCGAAGAACCTCTCGCGGCCGCGACATACTCCGCGGCCGCGACCTCCCCGAGCCAGAAACTGAGACTTCCGTGTATCTCGCGGCCGCGACTTCCTCTTCTCCGCGGCCGCGGCGAACAATTTCTGAATACTGATTTTTGGACTCGTTTTCTCTCATCCGGACTCGGAATTTGACCCCGTCTTCTCCAACACGACCCCAACTCATCCTTCTAGACAATAGACCTCGCATATCCGTGCACCGAGCCACCAAACCTGCACATCATCACCGACAAGAAATACGAAAAACGGGAAAAACGAACAAAAAGACCAAAATCGACTAAAACAAAGGATATGCGCGAGACGACTCGAAACGGACCAAAAACCAAAGAAAAATACCTAAGTAGGGGAAAAAACAAGCATGAAATAAACAAAGAAAACGTGACAAAAGTGGAACGAACAGGTGGTATCACAAATAGTTGGCTAAAATGTACCTCCATGGAATATTTGAGAAGAGTTTTGCTTCATCCAAACAAGTTGGGAGCAACAACTCCCAACACTATGTATTCGACCTCGACAATCGATAAGAAGATTCAATTTTTCTTTTTGCAGAACCATGAGACAAGGTTTGTACCAATGTGGAAACATCCTCCAGAGGAACTCTTTCTATCATCAAGATTCGCAGCCCAATATGCATCCCAATAACCTTACAAACTCATACTTGTGTTACATGAGTAAAAAATTTCATATTCAGATGTATCGTCAACATGGTTGAGGATATGTTTGACAACTTCGAAATGTAATTTCTTGGGATTAGACTTGTACCTAACACACAAGCTAACACTAAAGCGTATATCAGGTGTACTTACAGTAAGATATAGCAAACTACCTATCATGCTTCGGTAAAGAGTTTAACATGCTGAAGTACCTTCATCATCCTTAAAGAGATTTGTATGAGTGCCCATAGGAGTTAGAGGGTGTTTTGCGTTTTCAAGACCAAACTTCTTCACCAGATTTTTAGCATATATAGTTTGATGGAGAAAAGTTCTATCCTTACCTTGCATTACATGTAGTCCGTGAAAATATGCAAACTCTCCCATCAGACTCATCTCAAATTCAGAAGACATGAGTGTGATGAAATGATTGGCCAATTTTTTAAAGGTTGAGCAAAAAAAGTTCAAATAATGTTTGATCTGTTGCCCCTCGCTTGAATTCATTGTCGAGAAGGTACATGGTCAATCACTCACACCAAGCCCTTGGTGCTTGCTTCAACCCATACAACGCCTTCTTAAGTCTATAGTCATGGTTATTATTTGGATCCTTGAACCCCTCAGGATATATCCCATATGCAACCTCATCCAAGATCCCATTAACAAAGGCCAACTTGGTATCCATATGGTACACAATAAAATTCATTAGACAAGCAATAGATAGAAATATGCAATCTGACTCATGTCTTGCTATAGGAGCAATAGTTTCTTCAAAGTCAAACCCCTTGAGAAACCAGTCTAACCTTATTTCTATTGACACTACCAAATTCATATGTTTTATTTTTAAAAATTCATTTGGTTTCTATCACATTTTCGTATGTTAGTTCAGGTACCAGTTCCCAAACATCATCTCTAGTGAATGGCACTAACTTTTCTTGCATGGCTTGTTTCAAACAATCATGTTTCAACTCTTAATTTGTATTCTTAGATTATACCAAAGAAATGTAACAGGAAAAATGAAAAATTCCCATTAGTTTTTTTTTAAAATCAGATTTAACCCTTATAGTACCAATGACCTGTTCAAAAGGATGATCTTTCTGAATCTTGGCAGGAGGATCCCGCTAAGACTCGGACAGATTTCCTGATGAAGTAGGTACATCAAAATCAGGGTTTTGAACTTTATCAACCTCATTATTTGAGACATTGTCTTCCTCTTTTGTCTCAATTGAAACAACCGAGTCACTTTGATTTTCCTAAGAGAGTTCGAATAACAAATGGAAGTGGATGAACCGACATTATGAGATTTTTCATATAAAGTGACATTCATGGTTTCGATGACAATAAGACTAGTGTTGGACACCCTGTAAGAATGACTATTGACAGAATACCC